AACCTTCATTTGAGAAATATCTACTGCTCTCAAAATCAATATTTCTCCCAATATTAAAAATCAGAACTTCTAACCAGAGATTACCCCTTGAAACTGGTCGATGGCTGAACATTCCCAGGGAAAACAGCCAGTGTCCACTCTGTGATTCTATCGCTGTGGGAGATGAATTGCATTCCGATGTGAAGCTTTTCACCAACGGCGATATGAACTCTTAAAAAAGCAATATCTTAAGTTTCCAAACATTTAAGAAAATTATGACCACTAACAGTGTAAGAGATCTAAAAGGCCTATCTAAATTCCTTAACAATGTGTACAATACAATTGGTAAATTGTATTAGTATCCACATATCCTATTTTTATTATTTTTGTTAAATGTTGTCATTTTGTACATAATAAACATTGTAGATAATTGTATGTCATGTTTTCTAAGAATATATGAGTTTGAGTTTGAGTCCGACAGCCGAGAAGAAGCCAGAGATTAGTGCCCCTTTTTGAATAGTTTAAAATCATGTGTTTTAGGGTATTTGTTAGCTGTGTTGGTTTAAACATATTTTTATTTTAAAAGAAATCTGGATCGATAAACAAGCAAAACGTGCTTATGTAAATACCTCTCCGGGTAACAACTTAACAACAGCTGGTTATATATAAGATAGTGCTAAACATAAACATACTAAATGCACTAATTAAATACATGAAGCCAATACATTGAAGCAAGTGGCGTCTGTGAAACAAGATAATGCAGTTTTCCATTACTATATGCATAAAATTAAGCTACTCAAATCTTTGCTTTTGACAATAATGTCGTGAACTGATTTATGAATAGTCATGTTTGTAGAACTGCTTAACTACTGCCATTTAATATCATTTTTAGATCATATCCATGTGTGTAGAAATACACAGTGTTTCTGATTAATCGTATTTTTGACAGGTATAGAAAAAGTGAATTGCATCTTCAAAGTGATATCCACAAGCGCAGTCTGGTATGTCTGATGCATGTCGTCTAAACTTACCAGCGTTTAAGTCTCTGCAGCCGAGCCTAGGGCGACAGCGGACAATTTGGCATGATTTATGACCGTATTTTAAGTCAAAATTTAATAATTGCATCAGAACGATTAATTAAAGATTTGATTTGAGCGAGCATTAGTTACTTCATCGGGTAGAGTGTTCCGCAAGTTAATCATATCCAGAAGAAATGATTAAGCATAGGTCTGTGTTCTGCATTTAATTGTTTGTATGTTAGATCTATTTCTAAGGTTATAATTGCTATTGGCGGGAAGGTTTTGTTTTTAAGCGACAACTTAAATAATTTTGTCAGGAGCGGAGCTAGACGAGTCGCTGTTATATTAAGTAACTGTTAACCTATACCATCTGGCCCTGTTGCCTTAGTCGTATCTACAGAAACAAGAATATCTCGAATTTCTTCTGGATTTAGATTTACAGACAGTAATTCACAGTGACATATAAATATAAAACGTCTTATGTAAAACATGTAGTTAGTAAGACTGTAAATAACAAATACAAATCGCATTAAAATACAATGATAACAATACATTTTTGTAATCCTATAGCATGAGTTCCGGATGCAGACCCAGGAGAAAAACTGATTAAATAAAGGAAAGAAGCATGCCCTTATATATACTACTATGTAGAGACGTCATCTGAATATATGTAAATATCACGATACTGTACCTATCTACACGAACTATTCAAAATGTGCATAAGGTCATGGAGACAAAGGCTATAGATATCCTACCATCAGGTACAATTTTTGTGGTCATTATTTATCCCCTGAAAGAAACACTAAACCCCAGTAAACGTTGAGTGAGTAACCTATACTCACCAGTAGAGTAGGAGGTGTGTAAATACATACATAACCCCTTCAATGACATCTACAGATAATGCTGGAACCCGTTGACAAACAACCAAGCGGATGTAATTTTCACATTTATTAACACCAAAACCTACTTTTGATATTTAAAATATCACAATACGATTTTTTATATGATCTAATACATTATTTGATATAATAGATTCAGTAATCGATATCTATAAATCGATTTTGCGATGTCAATAAATATTTCTGGATATAATAAAATCAAATGTATGATAAAACTTCATTCTTTGGTATCCAATGTGGATTGTATCCCGGTTATAGTGTTGATTTGCTAGTCTGTTTATGCACCATCATTTCTTTCATATTATGGAAGACTGTTTTAAAAATGGCATCAACTACATCAAAACTGGACTTGTGCGAAACGAAATTTATTCAAGGTAGCACCAGATACATATAATAAACAAAGCTTATCACTAGTAACTAGGGGGTTCTTTTATCAGTATATCATCGATAACAATTACCATGATTACTTGTGGGTATTATGTAAAATGTTAAATATTTTATTTGTACTGAAATACTCGTTGAATGGTGCCCGTTTGATCATATCATATGGAGGACATTTGAAGTATTTGTCTTGTCATACATTTATTTGAATAACAGGAAACAATAAATACCCTCTTAAGTTATTCCTTGCCGCGTTTCAGTGAACCCTGTACAGTGTTCCATACGTTTAACCTTGTTCGCCTCGCTTATGACTTGACTGTAGTGGTGATTACCTGCATCTCAATTTCGGGAAGATCAGTGAAAAATCTGATGACAATTTGGGATAGGTCCACCAAATAGCTTGGTTGGCAGATTTATTGCTAGTTGAAATCTGCGGTCGGTCAATTAAGTCGCTCTTTTCCGATTCTTTAACTACATACATTGCAATAAGCCTTCAGTACACACACCTGTATATCCATACAGCTCTTTAAAGGAGAACTAATTAGCTGCATATAAGTTGCGTTCGTCGTATTGTTGGAAGACTAAGAAAATCAACCTCCCGATGACATTATTTAAAGACTGTATAGTCAATATGTCATTATCATACGAGCCGCGATATTGGTCACAATGGAGAAGAACGAACGCAAGGGGAGGACGATACCAATCATCATTCGACATAAGATCGCTCGACTTAGGAAAGAGGGTTTGACGTTCCGTGACATACAGATGCGGTTGGAGGCTGATGACAAGCTAGCCTTTTCAGTAAAGTCTATAAGATTAACCGCCAAGAGAGTGATTGAACGCGGAACTGTGGCTGACCTGGTTAGGTCAGGTCGACCTCGAAACAGTTAATGATGCCCAACGTCAAATGATCGAAGAGCAGATGGAAAAGGACGACGAAACATCATCACTCGACCTTCAGCGTTTACTCTGGCAGAAATCCCCAGTCACAGTTTCCACTTTTACAATCCGCCGAGAACGCCAAGCACTCGGGTGGGTGCAGGAAAACACTCACTACTGCCAAGTCATACGCGAGGCGAACAAGGTTAAACGCATGGAATTCTGTACACGGGTAACTGAAACGCGGGAACAATATGAAAATGTCATTTTCACGGATGAGTGTACGCTGAAACTGGAGTCGTGTCTTAGCAAGTGCTACAGGAAAAAGGGCACACTCCCAAAACTAAAATGTAGACCAAAGCACCCATACCAAGTACATGTGTGGGCAGGAATATCCCGAAGAGGTACCACAGATATCTGTATGTTCACGGGCACGCTCGATAGTTGGGGATATCAAGACACTTTGCGTGACTACCTGTTACCCTTCATATCACGCGCTTACCCTGAAGGTCATAGACTTATGCAAGACAATGACCCGAAACATACCAGCCGCAGTACCTCGGACTGGTGTCTCCGACATAGTGTTAACCACTGGAAAACACCGCCAGGATCTCCTGACCTGAATTCAATCGAAAAGGTGTGGGCTAAGATAAAGAGACATTTGAGGCGCCACGTGAAACCAACAACTAAGGATCAGCTGATCTCTGGGATACAAGAGTACTGGTCATCACTTGATGCACCTGGCTGTAACAGGCTCATTGGTTAAATCGTGTGGTTGCTCAGGTTATCAAAGTCAACGGTGCAGCTTCTGGGTATTAATCATTATTTGGACGAAATGGGAAATGATAATGTTAACAAGTTATTGTCCACCTCATCATGCATTACCAGTTTACATGCCCTTGTCATATGCATTTCATGTAAGCATGTTGGAATCATTGTTTCGTTGGCTATATTGTCTGTTCCGATAATACACCGAAATGTTGCATCATTTCGAATGTTGTAGTGCAGTTATTATGTTCATTTCCAATACATAAAAAACCCATTTGTATTTACTGGGTTTTTGGTTTTTCATTTATCTGTTTTGATTTCGGTAGAGTTTGGATCCTCAGAAAAACACTGAAATTAAATTGCCTTGACATGCATGACACCACACCAAATATCACATTCAGTTAAGAACAGAAACATACACAGATCAGCAAGCAATGTAATATATACATGTCATAATTTCATTTTAACAACTTCCTATTAAGTACACCTTTTCAATGCAGAGTTTACAGTTCTGGGAACTGGATTAGCTTTAATTCCCACAAGGATCCTCGTGTCTTCGGGAACATGTTGGGAGGGGAAAAACTTGAAACAAATTCCAAAAAGCATGTCCATTTTTGTCTTGACAAAAGCTTGGCGTGCCCGTCCACACTTTACATGCCCTCTGACGTTTCTTTGATATACTTCACGAAGTGTGAAAATCCATGTGAATACTTCACGGGCAAGAGCATCCCTGGTTGTTGAACCTCGAGAAAGACATTCAGCCTCCACGTCCGCAAAACGCCTATTCATGATGACCTCACTTATGGTGTCATCGCTTATGTTCAGAGGGATGTCTACTGGCCTCAAATCCCAAAACTGGCTGTTGGTGATTATTTTCCGTTGTTCTTGTTCATCGTAGTGGGATGGAACCGTCAGCTTAAGGGCAAATAAGACCTTAGTGTTGGCATTGAACAATACGCTCAGCCGATCAACAGCCCCTTCCAGTTTCTCCAAACGTTCTTCAACGGACGATTCTTCGGTGATGTATGGAGATGTATGACTCATATGTGATATACGTTCATTAATGGCGTGCAGTCTACCAAAGACGGACCTGGAAGACGACGGCGTTGTGGCGGGAGTTTCGTGGGTTGATGACGTCAAAGGGGGGGTTGAAGCCACGAGGTGAGGAAGGCAGAGGCACAGACATTTCCAGTGGCGGCGGTGGCAGGGGAGACCAATGAAGTTCACCTTCCAAGGGGGGTAGGAAGAGTCCATGTTCATATGGTGCAGGTGGTGGCGGGAGGTCATCTGGGTAGGTGGCGGCTGTCGAGGTGACGGCTGTGCAGGTGGCGATGACTAAATCATTTGAAGATGTGGCTTGTTTCTGTTCCGACTGTGGTGGTGACTGTTGGAGCGACGCTTGTGCTGGTGACGGCTGTACGAACGACGCCCACTGAGGAGGTGACGGCTGTACGAGCGACGACGACTGGTGTGGTGACGGCTGTACGAGCGGCGACGACTGAGGAGGTGACGGCTGTTCGAGGGGCGACGACTGGGGTGGTGACGGCTGTACGAGCGACGACGACTGGTGTGGTGACGGCTGTATGAGCGACGACGACTGGTGTGGTGACGGCTGTACGAGCGACGACGACTGGTGTGGTGACGGCTGTACGAACGACGACGACTGAGGAGGTGACGGCTGTTCGAGCGGCGACGACTGGACTGGTGACGGCTGTACGAGCGACGACGAATGGGTTGGTGGCGGCCGTACGAGCGACGACTGGGGTGGTGACGGCTGTACGAACGACTCCCACTGAGGAGGTGACGGGTGTACGAGCGTCGACGACTGTGGTGGTGACGGCTGTACGAGCGACGACGACTGTGGTGGTGACGGCTGTACGAGCGACGACGACTGGCGTGGTGACGGCTGTACGAGCGACGACTGGGGTGGTGACTGTCTGGTAAGGCTACCACGCCCAATTCCAATAACTAGTATCTGTAATAGGGGACATGCACATGAAACCCATGGTTGCCGTTTCGCATCATGTTACTGTTAAAATACTGGATCCAATAGTATACTTATCCGGGCACTTTTGAATAACTTACACCAATTGCTTTTGCTGTCTTGCGCTTGCTCCTTGACTTGGACGTCCTCGTTTCTCTCTGAAATATGTTATCATTGTTAGCGACGGGAAACGATGGCTTTTATATTCACAACTGGATGTGACAAATTTACAAAGCGTGCAGAGCAGCGATGACATAACATAACATAACGATACATAATTCATGTCAAAATGTTCACTTATTCAACATGATTTTATCATTCAAATCAGGTCTATATTTTCCACGGTTCTCCGACATTATGCCTTGTGAGAAGGGAACATTAAGAATTACGATGTCGATGATAACAGCTAATCGTACAAAACGTCGGGATCTAACTTACCTAAATCTTTCCTTTAGCAGCAGGGCTTTTCTTGCCTTTGACAGTGCTTGAGATGGGTGCTTTATTAATCGTGGTAATTGCAGAGCGCAGCCTCTTCGTGCGAGTGGCAACAGGGCCAGTTGCTGTCTGAAATAGAGTTTAGAGTTTTTTAAATGTTGAGGCGATTTTTGCGGGACTAGCTTAATTACAAGAGGTATGTGTATGCCGTGTTAGTATTATCCCGTTTATTTAGATAAAGGTTACCTTCGGTGGACTTCGAAGCTCTGGAGACAGGTTTACATAAGATGTTCCAGGCGTTCTCGTAAAAAATATTTTAATTAAATGTATTTACTATGGAAATGATCGATGATAACACAAATTTTGGAATACGTTACCATAAAACCTAAAGGGGACGGAGACCGTTACACAATTTAAGAAAATTAAAGAAATACACTGTATACACTGGGATTTAAATTATCGAAGTAGTCGCCTCATGCTTGGCTGCAGCGATTTTAAGCGGTACATACATTTCTTGGATACAAAAACTTGTTCCTATGGATATCTTACCGAGGATGCATTACACTTCTTTTTTGCGTGTACAAATTACTATATTCTTCGAAATGAAATGTATTTTTACCAACATGGTTATTCTTTGCAAACAGTGATGCGGAAATTCGTATTTGAGTAAGGAAGAGCAAATCCTAATATTAAATTCTATTCAAAACTGGCAGATCAGTTAAATGAATTGTTCAGTATAAACTGCAAATATATTTATATACATACACATCTAGCTTGGCATGTAAAATTCATTTATTTGTTACATCTAATCTCCATTGATGTATATATTGCACAATGTCCTATGTGGAGCGGTATTAACATAAGCGCTTCGCTTGTTTACCAATCCATTTCACACTTTTGTGACAATAAATATGTTTAAACCATAATCGATAATTCACGCTGGGTAAGGCATTGAAGGGGTTATCAAAAACTAATTTACTAAAACTAGGTTTACATGACAGTACCTTGTCGCAAGCAGGATTTCGTTGTGGCTATTCCACAATTGATAATATGTTTATTTTACAGTCAGTTATACAGCGTTATTTTGGGAAGAAGCGAGGTAAACTATATGCTTTATTTGTAGACTTCTCCAAAGCGTTCGACTCTATAAGCAGATCAAAAATATGGATAGTTTTGAATGACAGTGGTGTGTCACCTAAAATGTTTAAATGTATACAAACCATATATACGACTGTACGTTCCTGTGTAAAGTTTAACAATAGCTTCTCAGATGTATTCGATTGTGACTTGGGTGTCCGTCAAGGCTGTGTACTGAGCCCGTTTTTGTTTTCATTGTTTATCAATGATCTAGCTGTTGAAATTGAGGCTAACTGTGAACCCGGAATTCAGCTCCATCCAGACATAATTCAACTATTCCTGCTACTCTTTGCTGATGATGTAATTCTTATATCAGATACTGTATATGGCCTCCAAAAACCCATCGATGTACTCGAACACTATTGCCAGAATTATTTCCTAAAGGTAAATCTTGATAAATCGAAAATAGTAGTTTTTAAGAATGGTGGAGTACTTTCTAGATCTGAGAAATGGTATTTCAGTGGTTGTCAGTTGGAATGTGTATCATCGTACAAATATTTGGGAGTTGTATTTTCAAAGAATTTGTCATGGTCGAAACATACTTACAATGCTTCATTACAGGCTAAACGGGTATTGTTCTCGGTTCTAAAATCCGTTTCATCACTTAAACCTATTCCACCGAAACTATTAAAAAAAATATTCGACACTACAATTGCTCAAATTATGTTATATGGGGCTGAAATGTGGAGTTTTGAAAACTGTAAAGAAATAGAAAGTATCCATGTACTTGCTTGTAAACGTCTGCTAGGTGTTAAAACGTCTACTCCCAATCATGTTGTGCGAGGAGAGTGTGGAAGATACCCACTGTTCGTGTCTGCGTATAAACGCTGTATAAAATATTGGTGTAAACTTATGTCCCTCCCAAATTCACGATATCCTAAGAAAAGTTATGATATGTTATTTCAGCTAGCCACACATGGTAAAACAAATTGGGCTACAAAAGTCAAAACTCTTTTATACAGCCTTGGATTTGGATATATATGGGAGAACCAATATGTTATTTGCCCCGAATAATTTATTTCCGAATGTGAAGATCAGTTAAAATTTGCTTACGAACAGGATTGGCATTGGTCTTTAGCAAATAGTTCTAAAATGTTCCATTATACACTTTTCAAAAATTCATTTAGTCTAGAGTTGTATTTGTCTGCTATCACTATCAACAAATTTCGTGTTGCACTAGCCCAGTTTCGCTATAGTTCCCACACTCTCCACATTGAGACTGGTAGATACGTTAATACTCCACGAGAGCAGAGATTGTGCAATAGTTGCAACCAAAGATATGTCCAGAATGAATATCATTTTTTATTAATTTGTAACGCTTATGATGAACTTCGTCTTCTGAATTTACCACAGAAATATTTTGTACATCCTACTCTTGCTAAATTCAATATACTTATGGCGGTAAACAATGAAACTGTTATTAGAAATGTTGCAACTTTTATATACCACGCTATGAATGTTAGACTCCAAACACTAAGCATATAACTGTCAATGATGGACCAAATATTGTACAATGGGCCGCTGGCCTACACATGTACATGAATAAAGAATTGACAGTATCTTGACAGTGTTATATTGATTGGTCATCTGTCTCTTTTTCATCCAGTCCTGGGGGCGGTCGGGTAGCCTAGTGGTTAAAGCGTTCGCTCGTCACGCCGAAGACCCGGGTTCGATTCCCGACATGGGTACAATGTGTGAAGCCCATTTCTGATGTCCCCCGCCGTGATATTGCTGGAATATTGCTAAAAGCGGCGTAAAACCATACTCACTCACTCACTCATCCAGTCCTGTAAACAAACAAGTACATGATATTATCTAACATATCTGGCATCCAAGAGATGATCAGCGGTGGTCTTTTTTTTAAAATTCGATGTGTTCGATGCTTCATGAATGATCGGAGAAACGTACTGCACTGAAACCAAGAGTCATCAATATAAAGCTTCTTGTCTACATACATCTAACGAAGTAACTTAATTGTAACTTACCTTTGTAACTAGGTCTTCATACTGTTTCTGACAGCGTTATACATCCAAGGTAAGGGTCGTTAGTGCGGACTGTCCCTTCATCAGCGGAAGTACAAGCTCGGAACAATACCTTGTCCCCTTTCCTGAGCTTTTGGGCCAAACTGGTTGATAGTGTACCTACTTCCTGACGTCTGTGGAATTCTTTCTCAGCTATGGGCAGCCTGAGATAACCTGAAAATGAACACAGTGCTGGACAAATTACGAATAGGCATAGTAATACAATATAAGGGCAGTATATACTTTTTTGTAGATTCACACAAACGCACTGAAAAATCAACATTTTGAATATTATTCTCAATTGGGTGGTCGGGGTTGATACTACGGCAAGTGAATCCCATACGCGTGAAACCCGACAATTCTTAACATGTTTGTTTTAGACAGTATTGAGTAGTTTGTATTTATGTAAAGTAGCTATCAGACACGCACTTTTGCTTACATTATCTTCGGCAGTTTCCGACTGTGCTCGGAAATGTTTGTAAACATTCCTGATTAAGAAGTTATTTTATATGTCACATTAATGTAACCATATCCTTTTTAGATTTGTTTATTTCCTACAAGTTCACAAATACGTTTCTGGCCTTAGTTAATTACTGTGGGATATCCCAAAATCCTCTGCTTATCACTCCATCTCGCGCTCAGGCCAATTCCATTGTTTTAGCCAGCCAGCCGAGCACGTTGTTTCAACACAGAGCACATTGTTTTGGACCAGCTCTAACCAGCTCTAATTAGCTATCATATCAATGATTACGTCCTACTAGGCCTGGAAGCCCATTCCAGTCGTTTACAGATGTAACAGAGGTAGTTGGGGGTCTACCATCTTCAGTATTAATAAAATACATGGACCCAGAGAACGACTTTGTCCAGCTTTTACATGGTGCCAGAAGTGGGATGAAGACTCAAGGTGGACCCCAGCTGCCGGATTGGTTCGATCGGTTTGAAGCACAGTCTGTGAATGCATCCCAGAAGAGCTGTTCAAGTCCAGGAACAGCATTTCAAGTGTCTGATGTTCAGTGACTGTAACTGATATTTCCTACTGGTGTTGATGGTGAACTTTTCTTGAACAGTGAAGATGAATATCATTATGTCCAAAGTCTAAGAAACTGTTGTTATTAGCCCTATCAACAGTTTTGTAATCTCATGTTACGTTAGGTTGCCCCTTAACATGTTGTAATAAGATAACTTTCATTGCCTTGTTTACCTTAGCATTTTCAAAGGATTTCAGCATGCCGGGAGACACGGAAAATCCCAAGAGCCCCGAGGAAAAAGTGACTGAATTGGCTAACGAGCTGGAGCAGCTTCGAGAAAGGTTAAAGGACCAAGATGCCTGGATTCAGAATCACGAAAAGGAAGCTCCAAAACCTGTCATGATGGTTTCAGGCAGACGTGTGGACAGATTCAGGGGACGGCCAGAGAAATCAGGCGATCCGTCTGTCTCAGACTGGATTGCAGATGTCAGAAGCCATGCTGACGCCAGGAAAATGACCAAGCAAGAGTTTGGAGCACATATTGTGGATAACTTGGCAGGAAAGGCCAGACAGGAGATTCTTGGTCGGGGAGATGACCTGAAGGACAACCCTGAGGAAATCCTGAAAATCCTGCTCAGGGTATTTGGAGATGGTGACTAACTTCCCATTCTCCAACAGAAGTTTTATTCGCTGCATCAAGGGGATGATGACATTGTCACCTGTTCCCTCAATATGGTTGAACTGTTCGATCGCATGGTGGAGTTGGACCCAACACTCAAAGTAAGAAGAACAGACACCCTAAAGGGGCGCTTTGCAGAGACTGTTAACGAAGAAGGACTAAAGAGGGAACTGAGAAGATTAAACATGGAGATCCCAAGTTTGTCCTTCTTCGACTTTAGGGACAGGGCTGTCAGTTGGCTGGGACAACCAAAGAAGCCAAAGTCTGTCCACTCCCAAGAAGCTGCTGCCACGAGAATAGAGGAGACCACGATCCAGAAACAGCAAGCCATGATTGACCAGCAACAAAAGCAAATTGACAGCCTACTTAAAGCTCTTGACGTAAACCAGTCAATAGGGCGATGAAAGGGTACCAGCCAAAGCAACAAGTACTAGCACAAAATGATCGATGTTGTTGGATCTGCAGATCTCCGGATCACTTCAAGAGGGAATGCCCACGCTGGTGGTACAGCAACAAGGAGCACAAACCACAGGGAAATGCCTAGTCTGCAGTGGAGAGTCTCACAGCAGGCGAGGACGACAAAGGCTCATTCTTATTTAGAGCGGTGGGGAAATGTCCAGAAGTCATGGTAACATTGAATAACATTGAAACAAAATGCTTGGTTGATACTGGAGCACAAGTGTCAACAATCACGGAATCCTTTTTCCAGAAACACTTTCTGCTAGAGGATTTGAGGGATGTTTCAAGCTACATTCATGTGAAGGCGGCTAATGGACTGGACATCCCCATCCTGGGCTATGTGGAGTTCTCTTTACAAGTTTTTGGCCTTGAATTCACAAACTTAGGATTTTTGGTAGTTAGGGACCCAAAGGATGAAAGCACAAGATTAAGAAAGCAAGAAGTTCCAGGAGTTTTGGGTTCTAATGTCTTCAGGGATATGAAATTAAGCACTCCTACAGAAAACTTCCCTAAAGACTGGCAGACCATTTTGGCCCTCTACGAAGAAGTCTGTGCAGAGAGAAAGAAAAATGTTATAGGTAGAGTCAGGGTAGCGGGCAGAGCACCTGTACTAATTCCAGCACAATCCATCCACATCATTGAGGGGAGTTGTCGGCAGATTAAAGAGTCTTGTACAGCTATTGTGGAGGAACTTGATGCGGACTCATTTCCACTGCAGAAAGGTTTAGCAATCGGCCCATCATTTGTTAAAGTATCAAGCTCAGGTTGCATCACAGTACAAGTCGCAAACTTCAGCAACAGTGACTTGTATCTCAAGCCAAGAACCCCAATAGCCACACTAAAGCATGCTTCTTTGGAGCCACAGTTCGAAATTGTCAATATCAGCAACAATGAAATTCAAGTCAGGAATGTCAAGGAGGACCTGGTCGCAAAGGAAATATCCAGAAATCTCATTGAAAAGATGGATCTTGGAAAGAACATCAGTGACCAGTGTCATGAAAAGTTGTCTGAAGTTATTTTCCAACACCACAAAACTTTTAGCTCATGTGATGAAGACATCGGATTTTGTAATGCAGTTCAGCACAAGATCAGAACCCTGGATGAAGTCCCAGTCAAGGCCCCTCATAGACGGATTCCACCCCAGCAATGGGAAGAAGTCCGGGAATATATCGCAAAAGCACTAGATACTGGCATCATAAGGGAATCCTCAAGTCCTTATGCATCACCAGTGGTTCTGGTCCGCAAGAGTAATGGAAAGCTGAGGATTTGCTGTGACTACCGTGCTTTAAATGCGAAAACACGCAAAGATGCGTATCCTCTGCCAAGGATTGAAGAAGCATTAGATGTCTTGAAGGGTGCTAAGTACTTTTGCAGCCTGGACCTGGCGCATGGCTTCAACCAAATTCCAGTTGCTGAGGGAGACATCGAAAAGACTGCCTTCAGGATAGGTACTGGCGGACTTTATGAATATACCAGGATGCCCTTTGGACTAACCGGTGCACCAGCAACATTCATGCGCCTAATGGACAAGATCTTCGGGGACCAAAATTTTCAAACCCTCATTGTCTTCATGGATGATATCTTAGTATTCGGTTCAACGGAAGAAGAGGTCATTGAACGACTCGACAGGGTTTTGACCCGACTGGCATCTTACAATCTCAAAGTTCGCCCAGAAAAGTGCCAACTCTTCAAGGAGAAGCTGAGATACCTGGGGCACCAGATATCCCAGGAGGGCATTCTTCCAGACCCAGATAAAACCAAAGCTGTGTTGGATTGGGAAACTCCAAGAACTGAAACGGAAGTGAGAGGATTCCTAGGACTGGCAGGTTATTACAGGAGGTTTGTCCGGGATTTTGCAAAAATAGCTGCCCCCACTTCATGCACTCCTGCAAGGTACCAACCCTAAGAGGCATGGAAGGAGGAGAAAATCGAACAAAGGACTCGGAATCAGTGCCTGGGATGCCTCCTGCGACAAAGCCTTTCAAGAGCTGAAGACAAAACTCACCACAGCACCAGTCTTAGGATTCCCCGACTTCACAAAACCATATATTTTGGAGATGGACGCCAGCTTTATGGGATTAGGAGCAGTCCTGTCACAGGAACAAGACCAAGGGAAAGTTGTACTGAGTTATGCCAGCCGATCCCTGAGGCCCAATGAAAAGAACATGCAAAATTACAGCAGCATGAAGTTGGAATTATTGGTGCTCAAATGGGCAGTTACAGAAAAATACAGAGATCTCTTGCTCGGAACAGAGTGCCTGGTGCTAACAGACAATGACCCTCTCAGCTACATACAGACATCTGCCAAGCTTGGAGCTACAGAGATGAGATGGGTTGGGGAGCTTGCCATCGTTCTGGCAAAGAAAACAAGAATGCTGACTCCCTAAGTAGAAAATCTCATCATTCCCCAGAATCCGCTCGCTTAGAGGAAGTATTTATTCAGTCTCCATTCCTCAGAATGGAAACCTCCTCACAACTTCCGGGAGAGTTAAGGTCATCTGCACAAGCTATCACAGAGATGGTGTGGGTAGAAGAATTCCAGACGACCGCAAAGAGACAGGTTCCTATGATGGTCACTCACATGCCTTCACTGTCACTGGAAGATATGTCAAAATTACAGATGGAGGATCCATACATTGGTAAATTTAGAAATTACTGGGACAAGGATAAAAAGCCATCTAATCGTCAACTCCTCCGAGAACACCCTAGGACCAGGCGATTGTTCAAGTACTGGAAGCAGATAGTGGAGGATAAAGATGTCCTGTACCGACAGATACAGACAAATGGAACAGTAATCAAGCAATTCTTACTACCAGATTGCTTGAAGACAAAGGTGTTGAAGTCGGTACATGATGACCATGGACATCAGTGTTCTTCAAGGACATTTTCCTTGTTGCAGAGTAGGTTTATGTGGCCATACATGTCAAAAGATGTAAAGGACTACTGCACAAAATGCTCAAGGTGCATGTTAGGAAAACATGGGGAGGTAGTCAAGCCAACCATTGGATCCATTGTTGCAAGGAAACCAATAGAAATCCTGGCAATCGATTTCACAGTCCTCGAACCAGGAACAAACAAAGTTGAGAATGTGCTTGTCATGACAGATGTGTATACCAAGTTCACCCAAGCCATACCCCTGAGAGATCAGACAGCAAAGAGGGTTGCACGTACATTGGTCAAGGAATGGTTTGTGCACTATGGAGTTCCACTTCAGCTGCACAGCGACCAGGGTAGGAACTTTGAAAGTAGAGTCATTCACGAGCTGTGTAACATCTTGGCATCCTAAAAACTAAAACAACGCCTTACCATCCAGAAGGAAACGCCACATGTGAACGATTTAACCGAACACTGCACAATTTACTTCGAACCCTACCCTCAGAGAAGAAGAACCATTGGCCTGAACTACTACCAGAGCTCATGTATGCATACAACTCAACTCCCCATGCGACCACTGGATACTCGCCTCACTATTTGTTCTTTGGCAGGGAACCTAGGGTTCCAATTGACATGTTGATTGGTGTAAGTGACGAAGAGCAAGAGGAATGGACTGCAGAACACCAGAAGAAACTGCAAGATGTTTACCACATGGTATCTGAGAGAACAGAGCATGAAGCCTTAAAGAGAAGAAATAGAGTCAACATAGATGCCAAGGACAAAGAAATCTCCATAGGAGCAAGAGTCTTCCTACGAAACCACCCCAAAGGCCGGAACAAAATTCAAGATGTATGGAGCCCGGCACCATACAAAGTAGTGGAAAAGAAAATGTTGAATCAATATGTCATTCAGGCACTACAAGGGGAGGAAAATAGGAAAACTGTACACAGAAAGGAGCTTCTAGACTCAAGAACATTAGTAGAGGACATCCACAGAGAGTCTTCTCGGGAATACAGTGTTACAACTGAATTACCTTATCGGGTTGAGCTGAGCAGCGAAGAAGACGATGATATTGGGAGTGAAAATGATTTCTATATCATCGG